GAATTAGAGACTTCTAAAAAACGCTCCCTGGTATTACCTTTAGCTCAGTTAAGATAGTTGCTTATTAACCTAGTTGATTCCACCATTCCTTCTGCCTTTTTAAAAATTTTTTTTGAGACAGAGTCTCAAGTTGTCACCCTGGGTAGAGTACCATGGCATCATAGCTCACAGCAACCTCCAACTCTTGGGCTCAAGTGATCCGCTTGCCTCAATTTTTCTATTTTTTAGTAGAGATGAGGGTCTTGCCTTTGCTCAGGCTGGTCTTGAACTGCTGAGTTCAAGCAATCCACCCACCTTGGCCTCCCCAAATGCTAGGATTACAGGCATGAGCCACCACGCCAGCCTCAACAATTTTCTCTCTCCTTCCTTCCTTCCTTCCTTCCTTCCTTCCTTCCTTCCTTCCTTCCTTCCTTCTTTCTTTCTTTCTTTCCTCTCTCTCTCTCTCTTTCTTTTTCTTTCTTTCTTTTGTTTTAAGACAGAGCATTACTCTGTCACCCTGGGTAGAGTGCCATCGCGTTATAGCTCACAGCAAACTCAAGCTCTTGGACTCAGGTGATCCTCTTGCCTCAGCCTCCCAAGTAGCTGGGACTATAGGGGCCCACCCCCAAAATGGGGCTAATTTTTTTTTTTTTCTTTTTAGTAAGGATGGGGGCTCTCATTCTTGTTCAGGCTAGTCTGGTACTCTTTTTTTTTTTTTTTTTGAAACAGAGCCTCAAGCTGTCCCCTGGGTAGAGTGCTGTGACATCACAGCTCACAGCAACCTCCAACTTCTGGGCTCAAGCAAGTCTCCTGCCTCTGCCTCCCAAGTAGCTGGGACCACAGGTGCCCGCCACAATGCCTGGCTATTTTTTTTGGTTGCAGCCGTCGTTTGGTGGGCCTGGGCTGGATTTGAACCCGCCACCTTAGGTGTATGTGGCTGGCGCCTTAGCCACTTGAGCCACAGGCACTGAACCTAGTCTGGTACTCTTGAGCTCAAGCAATCATCCTGTCTTGGCCTCCCAGAGTGGTGCGAGGATAGGTGTGAGCAATTGTGCCCCAATTCTTGGAGCTGAAATGAACAAAGGAATCTTTTTAGAACTCTCTGGCTTCTGCCTCCCATCTTTCTCCTGCCAGTGGGGAGAGCAAGGGAAGAGGAGGGACACACTAACTATTAAATTCTGAAAGTTCCACATGACACCTATGGCTGGCTTTTCATTGTATCAGAGACGCAGGGCCGAAATCATCTCTTGGTTCCAATTCTGAGATCAACCTATACTTTAAACTGGCCCATGTATGGCCAACATTTGAAGCTGATACCCTCAAGCTGCTGATGTCCTTTAAAATGTTCAATCTCTCTTCTGTCCATCTTAATTCAAAGTGGAGTGCAAATTTTGAATTCTTTTACAATGAAAATATTGCTGGTTTTGATGACATAGCTCTTGTCAGCCTGTGCAGTATATAGGAGCCATGGAGTACATTCTGGAGCTCAGCTGGGTTAATAGGGCTGTTGTTGACCTTGGTTGTCTGAATAAATGCATTGTTCTGTCTCAGAAAGGAGTATTCAGAGACATCCTCTGACAGGCTTTGAGATTCACCCTGCTGGTGACAATGAAACGGAAGGGAGCTTCTGTCTTAGAGTCTGGTTCCGTGGGAGCTGGTTGGCCTTCATGCTTCAGGATGAGTGCTCTGTGCAAGCCCATCTGCCCCATGAGTTGGAGGACTGCTCACTTGAGGACAGGCTCCTGGGTAGTTAATATGATACATAGTATTAGATTGACTGTTACTGATGTAAAAGCACCCTCAGGCCTGAGGTTGATTGTCACAGGCTCTAAATCAGAATAACTACTGTGCACTGGGACTGGCTCTATTCTTTAGAGGTGAGTATTTAACTGTAGCTTGGTCCCCCAGACTCTGCTCTACTTCTGGCTTTGGGAATACGGTCTAAGATTCTTTGGATACAGTGGGATTTATGCCCTTAAATTCTTCTGTCAGAAAGCCATACGAAGATCTTTATTTGTGGGAACTGGGAATAATAATACCTACTTTGCCTCCTTTTCAAAGTGGTTGTAAGTAAAATTGAGCAGAGTGATATCTCTAAACACCTTTGGAAAACAATATAATTTTACACCCATTTAAGGCAATAATACGATTTCACTACTGGATCTGGGTTACATTAATTATAGCGATGATAAATTGCTTTGGCACATAAAATGAGAAAATTCGATAGTAATCCATTTATGCAAGAGAAAATACTAGTAATGGTTAATATTTATTGTTTACCATGAAGAAACTGAGGTTTACAAAGATACGGTAACTTATACAAGTATATATTATGTTTAAGTGACAGACTAAATTGGAACCCAAAATGCCACCTCCATATTTTATGTACGTACTTAACAGCAGCTGGCATCTACTGAATAAAAGGAAAGGCACTTTTCAAGTTCTTATATTTTTATTCCTTTTTTCTCTGATATATCAGCTGATTGACAACTGTTCTACACAACTTTTTTTTTCTTGTAGTTCAGACAGGTAACATTACCTAGTGGGAATTTTATAGTATTAATGGATATGAAATTAAGGTGGTAGTCCTTATCAAAGTTCTGGTCTTGGGCAAGTTACTTTACTTCCTTCAAATTTAGCTTTTTCACCTTTGAAAATGAGGACAGTAATTGTTTACAGAGTTGATAGGGGGCTTGAACAGCTCATGCATCCTCAATACTTAGGAAAGGCCTTGCACATAAGAGCTTACTCAATAAATATTAGCAATCTCCTTTTCTTTGGCAAAGTGAGCATTTTTTCCTTTTGAAGTTCTAATTAATGGGGCAGCAATATATTTTATATACTTCATCGTACAACTAAAGATGTAATAAGAATTATAATAGTATTTAAATATCAGGGTAACAAACATTTATTGTGTTTCTTAATATATGCCAAGCTCTCAAATAAGTGTTTAACCAATAATTCTCACAATAACCCTCTGATTAGGGACCATTCTTATCAACTTTTGGAAACTGAATTGCGGAGAGGCCAGATTAAGACAGCTGAGGGGTTAAGGTCTGAATCCCGGTGCGCTGACTCCAGAGCCCGTTCTCTCAGTTGGTGGTTTCGGAGTTCCACGGATGAGAGAAGGAAAGTGTGCTTTTGGCGATTTCTGAGATTAGAGTCATTCTGTTGCTGAGGGAAAAAAATAACCTGTGTTTAAAAGTAAATCAAGGTAGACCCATGAGAAAGGAGCACACCTTTACGGCCAAGGTTCCTAAGCAGAGTTCTGTATTATGTCTATATCTCTAGCTATATCTTTAATTCTGTATCCTGGAAATATGAACATCTGACTTAGAATCAGATCTTTGGGGAACTGTGAAGCCACACTTCCCTTTCTCTGGACTGTTGACCCTTGTTCCACTCCAAACTCCAAGACACCAGGCTTCATAGAATCTTGGGAATAAAAGGCATTCTATGGGACCATTTAGTTCATTTTCTAAATGTTTTGAAAAGACCATCCACTTTAGATAGATGAAAATCTTAATTTGAGTCTTCCAGGGAATCATAGTGGCCCTAACAACCCACTGCTTCATTGCATTTTACTTACCCTTCAAGACTTAACAAATGAATCAGTGTTCACAATTCCTTATGTTGTGGGTGCAGTCGGTTTCCTTGGGGGGCATTGAGACCCAGTTGATCTTGAAATTTGATCAAACCCTGAACCTTTTTTTTTTTTTTTTTGAGACAGTCTCACTATGTTGTGCTTGGTAGAGTGCGGTGGTGTCACAGCTCACAGCAACTTCCAACTCTTGAGTTTAAGCAGTTCTCTTGCCTTAGCCTCCCAAGTAGCTGGGACTACAGGTGCCCACCCACAATGTCTGGCTATTTTTTGGTTGCAGTTGTCATTGTTGTTTAGCTGGCTCAGGCCGGGCTTGAACCTGACACCCTTGGTGTATGTGGCCGCTGCCCTACTCACTGAGCTACAGGTGCCTCCAAAGCCTGAACCTTTTACTTATTTTTTTCCTAATTTTTACAGGAGTGGGTGGATAGTCCAGGTAATTTCTATTCCACTTTTCTACTTCTTTGAAACCTAGGTAAGAAGGAAGTGACTTCATATAAAAGACTTTGGAATTCAGTCTTCTGAATGCAGAGAAAATTAAGTGGAAAAAGAATTTTAGATTTGGGATTTGATTACTGATTTATC